TTTCTAGTAATGACCTCGGTTCTGCATCGTGAACAGGCACGAGTCAGAAGGTGTTGTGGCAGAGTAAGACGTAAAGTTTTCAGTTGAACGTCACTTGTATCACACTGTAGCAGTTATGATTTGGGGCGCCATTAAATACTATGCTATGTCACGTACGAGGTCTGTCAGTTGATTGATGAGTTTATAATTTTATATTGTCACCCGCAAAATAACTTCCGAAGATACACAGCGCTGGAGACGGTCCTTCCACTCCTCATAGCAGTGCTGGAACTCCGATACTGGAATAGCCTTTAGCTGGTCGGTTACAGCTGTTTGATTGTCTGCGACTGACCCTAAATCAGTCGGATGAACCGTAGTGTTAGTCACATTTAACTCTTCCACGATGATTCTGACTGTCAACCGACGGTTTGGAGGCACAAGATCCCGGATTCTGTCGTTATTTTCGGTTCTTGCGAATGAAGGCCAAAACACTATATCCGTAGGCCTGTTTAGCAAGACTTACTGTTGCACTGAAGCAAAACCTAGCTAGCATACCGTTGCTTGGAATTGTCACTCGATTTTAGAACACAATAGAAAAAACTGCCCCTCAAAAAAAAATCGCTACGAACAACCAAATGACTCGAGCGAGTTCAAACTTGTACTGAAGGCGGATGGCGGATCACATGATGCACTGTCTCCCCTCCAAGTGCTGCGCCCCCAGTGTTGCCAGATCGAACGCTACGTTGCCAGTCTCATCACTTAATTTACAGACCTCGCATGATGGCTCAACGGTATATCCAGGAAATGCCGTCACCACATTTTTTTCCATTCATCCAAACACTTAAAGACCCTAACAACTAGAGTCTCACCCCATATTACTAGAGCTTCAATAGTCTATTTTAATGACCTCTTCTTCCTTAGTCTCCTAGATCTGAGACCTTTAGAACGTATGTGGTATATAATGGGAGGAAAAGTGACATATTTACGTCACACCACAAACGCTAACAGGTTTTCGAAACCAAGTACAACTTGTGAGCAGTCAAAAATTCAACTAACAATCTAAAACACGCCTTTCTAACGAAGAAGTATTGAATCACTCTGTACAGTTTCCACAGGCATACCCCAGGAATGTTTACTCCATGTTAAAAATATGACTTGTAATGAGATTTTTACTATAACATGATTACAACTCAAATATATATATATATATATATATACAGGGTGGCCCATCCATGTGTGGACGGAATATTGCTCATAAACAAATGGGAAAATCTATTCATAGCATGTTATACATGATATTTGAGGGCAAATTTCTAAAATATTGGCAATTATACAGGGTGTCCCAATTTTGACCTACATATCAGAGCTGTAATTTTTTAGATGGAACGCCTCAAATTTTATTGCATATTTGGGTAAACCAATTCAAAAGAAGAAGATTGATATGACATACTATGGGGTTTTGGTAATTAGCTACAGAGATGTAAGGTGTTTTGTCCAGGAAAACCGTCCACTTCGGCAACCCCTCAATCCGTCATTTTGAAATTTGGAGTGCTGCATTTTGTATAAAAAAAACTTACACACCTCAGTTTTTATCTTGTTTGCTACCTTTTCGAATTTTCATTTTTGCTCATACAGGGTGGTCAAAAACGCGAATTGTACTTTTTCTCAAAAATTTCACCCTGTATATTTGTGCAAGTTTGGATTCAATTTTTTATAAGCTTCATTTTGGTATAAGGTTTGATTCAGATAAAATTACTAGATTTTGAGTTATTAAGCTTTTAATAGAACAACACACCAAAATTAAGGAAAAAAATCAGATCATCCATTGAAACAAAAGACAGACAGTGGGCTAATTCCATATTGCCACTCAGAGTGCGCATTTGACATAAAAGCTAATAACAATCAGAACAATATAAATCAGCTTCAAGTGTAATAGAGAAAAACAACTATAAAAACAACAAACAACATACACAAAGAACAAACTATCACTACTCAAGACCTAATCTACAAAAATGATAAATGACCGTTGCACATCCCTCAGCATGTGTTCTTCCCTTATGTTCAGAAAAGCATCCTTAATCCTTTCCTTCATATCATCCGGGGTAGATGGTGGATATGTTAAACCGCTTGTCCATCGGTGTAATATCTGGTGATCTAGGAGTCCAAGATATAGGCCCATCACGATCGATCCAACGATTGTTACTCCAAGTGTCCAAATAGTTACGCACACGATTATGATAATGTGCAGGTGCGCCGTCTTGTTGGAAGTACATATGCATCCGAGTTTGCAGGTTGACATCCTCCAAAATCTCGATCAAAGAATTCAAATATTCTGTACCTGTTAATCTGTTGTCGAAAAAGAAAGGCCCGATAACTTGACTGCCAATAACGCCTCTCCAAACATTCAAGCTCCATTTGTTTTGGAGATAGTAGTAAGTGTTTTCCGTTGCATAGTAGTTGACAACACCTATGCTGTTAAGTTGCCTCATCGCTAAAAAGAACATTATCCAGGAAACCTTAGTAGAAAGTAGAAATCCCGATGACGAAGGCTTGATTTTTTTTTTGTTTTGTTTCCAAGGCTGATGCGATATTTTAGGGAATTAAGCCGTTCCATAAAAGACGTGCTAATAATCGAAATAAATAATAAAAACCCTTATGCGTCTATTATCAAGAAAAAGCTTATAACAAATTGAATCCAAATTTGCACAAATATACAGGGTGATGCATTTGAAATTTTTGAAAAAAACTACAATTTGCGTTTATGACCACCCTGTATGAGCAAATTAAAATTCGAAAAAGTAACAAATAAGATAGAAGCTGAGGTGTGTAATTTTTTTTGATACAAAATTCAGCAATCCAAAATTCAAAATGGCGGACTGAGGAGTTACCGAAGTGGGGGGTTTTTCTAGACAAAACAACTTATATCTCAGTAGCTAATTACCAAAACTCCATAGTGTGCTATATCAATTTTCTTCGTTTGAATTGGTTTATCCAAATATGCAATAAAATTTGAGGCATTCCATTTAAAAAATCACAACTTTGATATGTAGGTCGCAATTGGGACACCCTGTATAGTGGCCAATATTTTAGAAATGTGCCCCCAAATGTCGTGTATAACATCCCATAAATAGATTTTCCCAAAATGTATTCGTTTGTGTATGTAATATTCCATCCACACATGGATGGGCCACCCAATGAATATACGAGCCCCTTCCCAATTCAGTTGGCCCACTTCAAGATTTGTACAAAAATATGCCTTTATAAACTAAACATGATGAAACTATTTACTTCTAGAACAATTTATTTTCTCAAAAACATTTTAGACACACTCTAGTCATAAAAAATACATATCTGAAATCACTTAGACCTATAACTAATAGAACATCTGAACAAATGTGCGAATAAATGCGTGAAGTTAACAAAGCAACAATTGAAAGATTCACCTTTATTTTTTATTACGGCTGAAATTCTTTGGGGCATAGTGTTAACCAAGTTTTGGCAAAAATTTGATGCAAAACAATCTCATATTTCTTGAAGCTTTTGTCTCAGTTCGGTGATTGTACGAGCAGGATGTTGTCGTACAACCTTTTTCATCTCGTGCCACAAAGTTTCAATAGGTAACAGATCTGGACTGCTAGAAACCCATTTCAAAAGTGGTACATTATTTTCTTCCATCCATTATATAGCCTTTTTTGAGGTATGGCACGCTGCACCATCTTGCTGAAACACAAAATCTTGGCCGTATGTCAAATATTCTTCCATCACTGGTAAAAGCGGTATTTGTTTGTATCCACATTTCCATCAGTAAAATGAAGTTTTCCTACTCCTTTTGATGACATACTGCCCCAGACCATAATGGATGCTGGAAATTTCAGAGCACTTAATTGTAAATATTTGGCACGCCTGTTTTTCACGATTATTCTTCTTAATGCTCTTCGGTCGGCATTTGTGATATTACCTTTTTTCACATATCGTGGCTTAATATTAACTGAACCAGTTACGTTATATCTTCTAACATCGTGGCTTAATATTAACTGAACCAGTTACGTTATATCTTCTAACAATATTTCTCACACTGTACCGCGATAAGTCCAACAAAGTTGCAATTTCTGAGTTTGATTTCCCAGAATTAAAAAATTTAATTATCAGTAACCGAATTTTCTCACTAATAACCTTTCCTCTACCCAGTTTGAAAACCTTAACTACCCAAAACTATTTTAAACGTATTCTGACAGCTGTGATTAATAAAAACAATTGTCATGGCTTTAATTTTTCACTGCCACCTATGCGTTATAGACTTATTTTGCATTGAAATGAAAATAGGTTGCTATGCTGTAATTGCAACATGTGTTATTTTTATGCTGCAAATTTGAGTAGGGAGTGATAAAGTTGGTGTTTTCTACTATATATTATCAAAATTTTCATTGTTAATATTTTAAACCTATAACACCCTGCTAAATTTTTATTATTTGTGTTTGATAAGAAAAAAAAAATAAGATTTCAATAGTTGAGCCAACTGAAGTGGGAACTAGCTATTAACTTAGAACAGGAACTCTAAAATAATACCACTGTCGTTGTTACCTAAAAGATAGCACATGTATAGAAACTAAAGTCTAGATATGGGCATTATATGTTTCGATTGCTTTTCGAGAGACAATTGTCAGTTTAACTCATATACATGTATGTCTGATTTTTCTTATAATATATTATATCATTCTTAAGATGTGAATGCGTTTTGCGAATGTGTGTGTAATGCAAGATATTCCTAACCAAGCTTGTTCGACTATGCTTCTTAACGCTGTCGGTAATATTAAATAAAAGCGAAGATTTTTCCTCATTCGCAGGCATACCAGCAGTATGCCCGTGCACCACCACCGGCAGCCCCCCCGCCCGTACCGCCACACATGCTGGGTGCCGCCGGTACCTTCTCATCCGCCCTGCAGTACCTGAAACAACCAGGAGTGATGCTCACATCACTGCCCCCTGACCAGCAACAGCAACTCGACCAGTACGCCAGCAACATGCAGGATTTGAGAGCAGCCGCTGCTTTGCCTGATGTGATTCAGCAGCATCAACATGCCACTGTTGGGCTTAAAAAGGTACCATTTAAAAAAGAAACTCATCTCATCATCACTATCATCTAAATCTAAATGACGAGAAAAGCATACGCTGAAATCTAGGAATCCTAGAAATAAAATAGTATAATGTAACTTCCTAAAGCCTTTAGGGCGAGGCTGGTAGAGGAATGTAGAGGTGCATACGGGTCCGCTTAAGCGGCCTATGCACTGGCCTGTAATTTCAAGATTCATTCATTCATTCAAAGCCTACGTCCTGGTGATTTTTCTGATCCATTGTACTTGTACAGTCTGACTTTTCATAGTGAAACGAACTCAAAATATCCAATTTTCAATTCCTCTGTCAGATGGATCCAACTGAATTTGAGCGCTGACCTGGGAAGTGTGAGGGCATCAATCGATTTTTTTGTTTACTGACATACAATGCGGTTATACAAAATATTCATGTACCAAAATAAATTGGTCATTATTAGTGAGTAGTACTCGCCGTTCACGGTAACGGTCTCTCCAAAATTACGGATCAGTGATCCAGATGTTGGTCTAAAATACGCACCAAAAAACTTTTTGTAGGCCCATTGCTTCATGAAAGCACAGATCTATGCTAATAAACTCCAATACATTGATAATCTCAAGGTCAACATCGCCCAAACTTATCAGGACTTAGCATTGAACACTAAACCTTTTGAATATGTTAGTATGCGAAGCAGTGGCAGACATTTGAATGAGGTCATATTACAAATCGCTATACATTGGCCTTTCAGATAAATAAGTATTCGTTTACTACCTCAAACACCTTGCTTCATTTCATTTCAATATCAACCCGCTTTTGCATGCTTGAAACATGGCAAGTGGCAACCCCTTCCCAAATACCATTTTGTTAAAATGGGCTACCACCCAAGAAAAATTTACCTATATTTGGCAAATTTTAGTAACTCTATCCATGAAAGCTATTCTCAAAAGTTAAATTGAGTTGAATCCTGTGTCAAAAACTGATAACTACGTACCAAAATAGGTCCCTAATAGATCTTTGACCAAGAGGTTAATTTGTCGATTCAAAACAGCAAAAAGCATACCTCTAAAAAGTACTTAAAGAATTCTTGACCTTGAAGACAAATCTAGAGGTTATTTGATATTAACATAAAATATTCCCTAATATTTGTTTTTTTTTTGAGCATATTGGTAAGTAAAAGTTATTTTATTCATTACCAATAAAATTCCTTATAACTTTGCAACATAGACTGGTAAAATACGTCGATATGTCTACTAAATAACCCTATTACACACTTTGAGCTTACAAGGAAGCTTGTAATGAATGTTCGTCCAGATTTCGACAATGGCACTAACTTTGAAGGAAAAATGTTCACTTTCACGAACTGTCTGAAAACTTATACCGGAAGGGGGATAAGGTTTATAGGCATACCTCACAATACTACCTGGTAATTAAAAAAACTCAGCTATCACGATTCCCGCTAAATTCTGAAATATTGTAGTAATTGCGCCTCCCGCTCAATACTCGGACTGTATAATTCGGAACATAATTTTGAAGTGATATTTTCTTCTTTAGGACACGTTTCAAAACCTACCCTATTTTCCTTTGGAACAAGCTGAATACGGGATTTTAAAAAACCACAAACTTTAATAGCTTACAAACAGCAGAGCTATCAAAATCAAATGCTACTAATGAACGCATCCCGATAAGTCCATCTTTGGATTAGACAACGGTATTGTAATTTAAAAAGAGAGAATGATCCCTGACAGGAATCTTTTCCTATCGCATACACGCAATACGAAGTGGGATTGTAGTATAATTCATACACGTCTTGCCAGCGAGGTCAAACTAATAAGCCTACTTACAAAAAAAAATATTTAATGTCAAATTGTTTGTCCAAAAATAAAAATCAAGACCTAGTTTCACCTTGATTTTGAATTTGGCCTCTAAATAATTATTAGGTCTGAAGTATGGTCAACTGAACTATAAAGTGAAAAATGGCTACAGTCAATATTAAAACATTAACTCGCTTACATATTATGTTACTTTTCCCAAAAATACTTAAGCCACCCAAAAACACAAATAGTTGTTTATACAGGGTGTTTGGAAGTCTTGGGGAGGTGACCATTTAGAACATTTTAAGCTAAAAATACTTTAGTTCAAAGTCTCGGTTTTCGAGTTATTCGAGATTTTCGATTTTTATTGAAAAGAAAATAGCCCTTTTGTTCCTGTTATCACTGAAAGAACATCAGGCTATATAGTTTTTAAATACCTGACAGTGTGTTTTTTTTCTCCGAAGGTAGAGAAAAGAAGAACAAATTGACTGTAAACAAATAATAAATACTTACATGTTTTCCTAATTTCGTGATACTGATAAAAGGAACGAGTTTGCGTGCATGATAAATCTAAATTCCACACATTCTTGCTTTATTCCTTTCCAAACAAGTCAATAGTAATTCATGAATTTCAGTTCAAAAACTCTGAATTAATAAGTTTGTAAAATGGCCGTTTTCACTAACGAAGAATACGCAGATTATCGTTTGCATGTTTGGCAGAGCAGATGGTAATGAACTCGAAGCACGACGGTTGCACCAAGAGCGATTTCCTGGGAGAAGATTGCCTAATGTCAGAGTATTTTACAATACTTACCGACATCTTTACGAAACTGGAAATGAAACACGTAAAGAACCTTGTGTTAATCCAGGCCGATATCCCCCTGAAACCGAAGATCTAAACCTCCAAGCGTTTGAAGATGATCCCACTACAAGTACTAGGAAAGTTGCTGCTGATCTTGGTTTGTCGCCATGGAAGGTTTGGAGTATCATGCACCATGAACGAAAATATCATTTTCATGGTATCGGCGTACAAGGACTTGAAGATGGTGATCCTATTCGCAGAAGACAATTTTGTCGTTTTCTCTTACATAGTGACATTGAGAATTAACGGTTTCTGGAAAGCATTCTATGGACGGACGAATCCAATTTTTCAAAGGAGGGCATTACAAACTATCACAATTTGCATCAATGGGCTGATAAGCAGGAAAATGCACACTGGAAAAACAGGTGTCTTTCCAGCACAAATTTTCAGTTAATGTATGGGCCGCCGTCATGGGACAAAGACTAATCGGTCCTCATTTTTTGCCTGGAAGATTAAACGGCGATAGTTATCTACACTTTTTGCAAAATTATCTTCCCGAATTACTTGTAGGAGTAGAAATTCCAGATGACATGCAAATTGTTATCGAACACGACGGATGTCCAGCTCATTTCCGTTTAGACGTAAAACACTATTTGGACGGTACTTTTCCAAATAGCTGGATAGGCGGAGGTGGACCAATTCCGTGGCCTGCTAGATCCCCGGACTTGATACCGTTGGATTTCTATAACACACAGTTAGTTTACACTGAAGAAATCGTACCAAGAGACCATTTAATAAGAAAAATTCGAGTAGCTTTTTATTTAATGCAGCAAGACAGGTTATTGAATACGACAACTACCGAAGTAACACGTAGGGCTCGAGCATGTACTCATATTAGAAACAATGGTTCTCACTTTGAACACCAATAAAGCATGTTTCAGAAGTTTATTTCGTTTCGTTTACTAAGGCCCGTGTGGTCAGTCGTCCCTACAATTGTAGGACGCGTTTATGGCCTCCTTGATTCCGATAATATTACGTCTTCTTCGGTGAGGTACATGTATGTCCTGCTTTACCTTTCTAGTCTGCTGTCAATCAAATAATCAGAAGTCAATTGTGACGTTAGGTTATGTTTCTTTTTCGACGTTTAAAAATTTCAGACAGATGAATCAAACAATCAAATGCCAAAGGATATTTTCTTGCAAATAGTGTTGATCATTCAATAATAATTTCCTACATTGAACAAATTCGTCAGGCTGTGGTATCTTCAAGTCCAATATCTGGTATTAATGCTCTAAAATCAACAATTTACTGCAAATGGATGTGCATTTATATATATTTGCTTAACAGCTTACATCCAAGTTGTTCGTTGATGAAGCTGGTAAGTTACAAAATTTTTAAACATTGCATATTCATATTTATATACTTATCGCATTTTTTTCAGATGTGGTTCGTTCCCACAGACTTTATGAGATGTTGGATAAGAAACATTGTATCCCAAGTGCAACTGCATTGTTAATGCCGGAGATGGCTGTTCACAAATCATTGTCAGACTTTGGATTGCCTAGTGTCAGGGTACAAGTATGTATAATGTGTAAATGCTCTGAAATTGAGGTTAAACATGCCCTGCCCTATCTGGTATTTTTTTATATTAGTGGGAACCTTAACCTAAAAATTTCAGACTATAACTCTAAAAAATATCATTATAAAATTGTAGCCCACACCAAGGTGTAAACATTTTAATGTATTCTTGAATCTATGCAACTTTTTTGCAGATATAAACCATCGCGATATTGCATACAAAACTCCATATCTATTTTGGAAGGATAAAGAGGCGAATGATCTTCCGAAGAATGGATTCATACATCCACGCACTTGAAAGCATGTTTGAAGGAGCCAACCTTACTGAAATAAGTGAATTTGCTTTTTGTGACTGACATGTGTTACACTGCAATTGGAAATTCAAGGTAGGCATAAGCCTGTATATTCATAAAAGCTAAAAGCTATTGAGTTCAAGAGGAGCTTTTTCATGCCTTTGAAGGGGGTTCTCAAATGTCTAATGGTTAATGTTGCATGTGAGAGATAAAATGTCACACGAAACTCGATAAAGTGGATTTTTGAATATTGTAATCAACATTTCTATTTGACAAAACCTCACAAAGTTGTTGGCAGAAGTTAAATAAGAATCCAGTGATCTAGCAAAAATGCTATATGAGATACATATTTTAACACTCATGGTTATATCGGTACTTAGGAGTAAAACATAAGAAATCGCGAATACTTGTAATAGGTACTATTTTTTCAGATCTACTTGCATTGCTCAAAGAACATCCAATCCTGACAAGTCCAGGGTACAAGATATTGTTCCAAGACAATAACTCCAGTGTAAGGAACATTATTAGAGGGAAAAAAAAGTTAATATATTTAAATTGGATATTTCAAGAAGTTTGATACCTAGAGTTAATTAAATTTCCAAAATGATCTAATGTACCCCCAAACTAAAAAGATTTCTTTGTAATTGATTAGATATCCTTTTAGCCCTGTTTACATAGCTTGTAATTTTGAAAATAGCATATTATAATCTAGTCAACGTCATGCTAGAGAAAAAACATTTGTTTTAAGAGAAAAGAAGGATTAAAAATTGATGAAATCTATATTTCTAGATATTTTTGAACGAACCTATTGTATTTCTGTGGGTATACAATGTAGAATAAAAAATATTTATTTTACCAAGTATTCTTTTATTTATATTCTTCAAGTACCAACTGGAAAATATGATACATGAAATTGTTAAGGCATTCATAGATATACGTAGTATGTCAAAATACATAAGTATCAGTAATCAAATGAAGTCTTTATATCTAAAAGGTACAAATAATAACAGGAAATATAAACAAATATATAGTCAAAAAAACATACCAAAAATGAAAAACTATAATAGTGTATTACAATAACCTTTAATAACTTCAAATTTACTTACATAAAATATAAGGTGTTTTCCAACTGAATGTCAATATTTAAGAGGGCGACTTTTGGTTCCATTTTAAGAAGAAAACTTCATATAATTGTATGTCCTAAACGTCTTGACTTTTAGGAAACAGGGTGGTAAGCTTTTTAAAAATCAATCATTTTTTTGTTACGATCTGTAATATCACTTTACATACTTTACTAAAATTCGGCATATATGTACTATCAAGAGGTATTTTTAATGTACGAATTTTCTTTTGATTTCCACCAGCAACGTTCGTAACGATTTCACTTGCTTATTTTGTCAGACAATGATAGAACTGATTTCTCTTAAACTAAAAACTTTTGAAATCCCGTCATTTCTAGGCAAATTTGATTGCTTAACTTTTGTTCACTCCGATGCACGGTATTCGCTTACAAAAATAAAATAACGTTTCTTTGCATGATCCTAATATCGTTAGTATGACAATGTCACTATGTCGCGAAATAGATTGTATTTTTTACGTGAAAACCGTGCGTCAGACTAAAAGAATTCAATTTTTCATGTCCGACCCACTATTTCCACCCAAAAAATACTCTGCATGGTGATATTGTCATCTTAACAATATTGTTATGATCGTATTTATAAAAACCGTGCATCAGATTGAAAAAAAAATCATTTCGCATCGATTTTTGCTTCGAAGTGATTGAAAATTTTAATAAGAGAGAAATAAACAGCATACCATCACTGTCTATCAAAACAGGCAGGTAAAATTTAAAAAATGCCTCTTGACACGTTTACGTGTAGGCCAAATATCATTAAGTGGTAATACGGATATTCATAATCAAAGATTTATTTTTTTGACCTTGTCTACCACCCTGTGTTTCAAAAGTTAAAACTTTTAGGACATACGATCATTTGAAGTTTTCATCTTAAAATGGACCTGAAACCACCTCCCTAGATATGGACATTCAATTAGGAAACAAACTAAATTGCAGCTACCAATACGTCAAGAGATAAATGTAGACTTTCGAGCCAAAGATTTCATTTTTTTTTACTCTGGCTATAATAACTAGCAAAATCTGCTGCTCTTCATCTGAGTGTTTCAAATATCAAACCTGTTCAGTTTTTGATATTTCTTAACAGTAAATGTTTTTCTTTCCTATGCCACAGTTTTAATAGATTTTCTCTTTTATTTTAAGATTACAAGTCAATGAACAAATTGGAAAAGAAACTGTATTTAGCTGTCCTCACTTTTTCTTCATATACCACATTCTACAACACTAATATATGGTGCAACACATTTGATAATACAACATATTGTTCTTTGAGGCTCAGTGCATTGATCTCCTTGTTCTTGATGATGCCACTGAAATATGCTTAGTAACTGAAGGCTCCATTATTGATAGCGATTTAAATCCAAAATTTATACCCAGCAGTTTAAAGACAAATCAAATTCTGTACCTTAGAGGCAGGTTAGGTTAAGTCCATTTTTGCCTAAAATGAGTCTTACATGTTAAATGCATGATAAAGTTGGGAGTTTTAATTTGATACTTGCAACATCTATCCACCCGTAATGATGAGTAAATTATGAATGCAATGAAACTATCTTAAAACTACCTATTAGGGCTTAACCCAGTCTGACTTAGAGGTAACTACAATTTTCAACATAATGGGTCTTTTCCGCTTATCTAGTTGTTTGAATTGTTTGGAGGTTGTTTAACAGGAAAGTAATTCCCTTGAAAAGTCACAATTTTCTTTTATTTCCCCATTCTTATTTGATTATGGAATTGTCATAAAGTTTTTCTGATTTTGCTTCATGCTGCAACTCTATTCTTCTGTTTACTCTCTGTAACACTTCATTTTTGGTAATCCTACAGGACCATGGCATTTTGAGCACCCTGAAATAGCGATGGTCAATAATAGTAATTATGATCTTCACATACACACATTATACATACTTGTGCCTGACACGCTACACAATCTAGAGTCCCACAATAATTTGTGAAAAAGCGTCTCTGACATCGACAATGCAATAATTGCACTTGCCATACAATGTTTCTTATCCATGGAGGAACCATCTCATAAAGTCTGTGAGAATGAATCACACCTGAAAATAATGCGATAAGTATATAATATGGATATGCAATGATTTATTTTGTAACTTACCAACCTTCATCAATAGAATAGCTTGGTTGTAAGCTTCTGGACTTTCATAGACACAAATATACTATATCTATGTGCATTAATTTTCCTAACTCAACAATTTCTTGAAGATACCACAGGTTGTGGAATTTGTTCAATGTAGCGAGGTATTTTTGAGTGATCGAGATTATTTGCAAGAAAATTATAAATTATGGTTCTGCTTTCCGTTGAACGTCAAAACAACAACATAATCTCAAGCCAGAACTGTCAGTATGTCGGAAATCAAAAGCAGGACATACATGTACGTTAACGAAGAAGACGTAATATTACCGAAATCAAGGAGGCCATAAACACGCCCTACAATTGTAGGGACGACTGACGATACGGGCCTTATTTATGATTTAAATTTGAAAATCGGAATATCTCGGAAACCGTAAGACTTTGTACTGAGGTATGCTTGGCTTAAAAGACTCTAAATGGCCTGCCCTATCCCCTCCCCAAGATTTTGTATCGACCTTCCAAACACCCTGTCTACTTAACACATCTTAGTAATAAATGCCTCATCAACCTACTACTGACTTCTAAATTAGTTCATGCTATTTTTTCAACCTGTTTTTTGGTCGAATTAACGTAACTATAATACAGAATGTTTGTCGGGTTCTAATAGAAATTTGGTTACTAGTTCTGTATAATAATCGAAATATTATATTTTAGAGGAATTCGATCCTGTGACTGATCGACTGTGCTCTTGTTCATACAGATAAATAGGACATATTTATAAAATTGTTTGATTTCCCATTCAAGTTACCGAGCTAATTGAGTCACTCTACACGACAGCATTATTTGTGTTACTTTACAGAACGGCAGTGGTCTTGGCGCCGAGCTGCGCCTCTTCAAATGCCTGACGTGCGGCAAGGACTTCAAGCAAAAATCCACCCTATTGCAGCACGAGCGCATCCACACGGACAGCCGTCCGTACGGCTGCCCGGAATGCGGCAAGCGCTTCCGACAGCAGTCACACTTGACGCAGCACTTGCGCATCCACGCTAACGAAAAGCCGTACGCATGCGTTTACTGCGAGCGCACATTCCGCCAGCGCGCCATCCTGAACCAGCACCTGCGCATCCATTCCGGTGAGAAGCCCTATGAGTGCCCGGAGTGCGGCAAACACTTCCGGCAGAAGGCTATCCTCAACCAGCACGTCCGCACACACCAAGGCGAGCGCCCCGTTCCTCTCTATGCAGGCGGTGCGCCCACTCGAACGCAGCCCTAGATTACTTTTGACATCACTGTCTTGCCGTTGTCGTGTTTGCACAGTTTCAAGTCGCTTTGATAAATGTCGAACACAGAACATGAGTTAGTTGATTTAACTATATGCGCTTTAGAGTATGAAATGCCACGTACCACGAACTGCCACCATATGTTCACGAATGCAAATTCGACTTTGACCATAAGGTGATAACAATGACTAAACGTTAGTTTAAAGTTCCTCCGTAGAACATTTTCGATCCTCAAAGTACATAATCTTAAAAATAAACTGAACGGATGCCATTTTCATAGGGCGATAGATTAGTAGGTACAAAAATATACAAAGCAGCTGGTACCACTATTGGAGGTCAGTTATTTTCGAAATAAATATCGGGCGTTGAACCCACCTTGTATGGACAAACTAGTAATTGGCCATTTTTTCATAAACCTTGTATTCCATATATTTGTCTTTGACTTTGGGCATAAACATTGTTCAAAGGTTATAAGGATGTAACCACAAAAGAGTACCAGCAAAATAATATTGAATCGACTTGCACATGCTTTTTACTTTATTCGAATATCTACTCGTAAAGTGATATTGCATACCCGTACCAAACATACATTCCTAACTTACAGTGCTTTTCAAAAAGACAATTCTAAGTATTTTTTTAACCAGTGAAGTTAGAAAGCTGAAATTCGGGCTAGTGAAATTGATATATGACTATTACGTTTTAAGGCAAAACTGGAAGCTGAAAAAATCAATATGGCAGCTGGGCGCGCCGTTTTAGATTTCTCATTTTTTATTCAGAATATGAAATATCTATCTTCAAAATGACGATCTGGTAGACTAGATGTTATATTAATTCTTCTATTAGAACGATCTACCCAAATAAGTAATAGAATATGGAACATTCTATCAAGAGAATTGTCAAAATCTGTCAAAATTACGGATTTACGATTCGTCTTATATTTTAATGCACATTCAGATAGGCCCTTTCAAAGGGAGAAGATTCATCAAACGACTTTGACACCCTTCCAGTCGACTATTTGAAAAGATAGTGATTTTGAATTTACTCATTGTGAGCGTCAAAGCAAGATATCACAAGACCTCCCAGTATATTAAAAAAACGTTACAAGATGGCACCCAGCCACCATCTTGGAATCTTCAAATGACATTTTTACCATAAAATTCTTATTCATGCGCAAATTTCACCTTCCTGAATTTCAGCTCCCTTACCTTATACGTTCAAAGAATCAGTAGGGGGACCATTCTGATAAGCACTGCAGAACAGATATTCCATACAACATCGGACCTTGGCCTAGTATTACACTTTCTGAAAATTCTTATGAATACTACTCTAGACAGACTATTTGAAACACCTCCCTACTATGGCAGCCTTGATCTTTTATCTATCGTCGTTCAGTCTAATACTCCTTATGAAGAAATTATCTTATTCAATAAGAATGAATGAACATAAACGTTGTTACTTTTATTAAAAATTTGCCAAGAATTTTACACAACAAATTTTTAAATACATGGTTAAGGAGGTGTACATTATTAGAAAAATTGTAAAGCTTATGAACCCCAAAGAGACAATCGGTTTAAATCCGATGATAAAAAAGTCATCTAACGTTCTTCGATTTTCCATCAAAAAAAAGATGAGTTTCGGGTATTGTTCTTCTATTATTGTGTCGATCATCTACATGATAGAGCCAGCCGTCTGTTCTGTGTTCGATTATCAGTATACCCAAGGACGTTCACGATCCAAACATTTATTCTGTGCAAAATTTCAAATGATACCCAGACCATAAGCAGTACTATTTCAGTAGTTCATTTTGTTGGTTAATCAAGGTTCCCGGAACTCCCGATTATTATAAGAATCTGCATTGGAAGTAGTTCCTTATGTAGCTCTCACCCCATAAAAAGTTCTTGTGTGTACTGGTGGTACTCGTATAAGCATTATTGTTGATGTGCTACGGGCGGTTAGAGTTGGCCTGCCGCACTCCCTACACTCTTTCTATTTTGTTTCATCTATGATACTCTCTAGTAAAAATTGGTTTCGGAAAACAAACATAGTGGTCGCCTTCATCATCAAATATTAAAATGTAGAAAAATAAACGGACTTGGATGACTTTTGAGCCATCAAAAATATTCATACCGTTTGGGCCTTTATTTTGAAGGACAATAAATGGTCGTGCTTTCGGATATAAATTAAAATAATATTAGTTTATTCAACTTTCTGCAGTTGCTGACTGCCTTTTTTGAATGAAATCTACGTGAGCAGATACATGTGGGAGAAGAAATGTAGTCTTTCTCATTAAACAAACCAGCTTGTTAGTACAAAAAATAAGTGTCTTGATTATTTGATATTTAATTATACATTATACACTGAAGAGCATGGCTATAGCTCCACGAACAATTCTCGTTTTTTCTCTAGTTGGTTTAAATTGTACCTTTATTTAACTTAGAGTGACGAATTTGTTACTAAGTCGATTAGAATGATCTCCATATTTATTATTTTTGTTTGTTTTATCATCCGTGTAAGTTATGTTAGTTATAATTGATCTCAGCGAAAGAAAGCTTAAAGTTGTTGGTGACTATAGTTATGCTCTGCACTTTATGCAGGGTATTTGAAAAATAGATGGAGATAGTATAGAGGCTGATTCGTTGTTACAAAATATGAAAAAAAGTTTCTATAAGCAATGATCCGGAAATGCAGAGTATTCAAGGTACAGGGAGGCAATTTTTTTCATTAACATCTTAAAAAATATTTATTCGATTCTGTTGAAATTGGGCAATGTTGTTGGATTAGTAGGCTAATTTAGCCCTAAATCGATAGTGGGGTCGCGGGGGGCATTTTAGCGAATATTATTAGCCAAAAAAATGTGTACGCCACTGTTTGTTTTGTAACTTTAATATTTGTTGTTTGATTGAGCATCTAAAAATACAACCCCTTTGCGGCTTGTATTTTTTTCGTGTCTCATTTCATTTTCAAGAAAAAAAATAAAAAACGTTTTATAGTAAGTCACTGGGCAAAATTTGTTTATCAATTTTTATTATAAAAATCACAAGCGCCATAGAAACAAAAATAAAAACATTAGCCTCTTAATACAGCAAATATTATCGTCAAATTTCAACAGAATCGAGTAAATAGTTTATAAGATATTAATAAAAAAATTAAATTTATCACCCTGTATCATAAAAACTGCATCCGGACCCATGTTTATTGAAACTTTTTTTCATATTTTTTAACAAGGAATCACCCTCTAAGATATCTCCGTCTATTTTTCGAACACCTTGTCACTACGAACAGTCCCTTCCTTATTATATGTACAGTACTTCATCTGCATAATAACTGTATTAACAACATTTTCTGATGCACTATAACTTACACATTGTAGCATATTTTTCCACCTCACACAACCACTATGTTTACTTTTCCTGTTCTCTGCTTTCTTTTGTAAATACTTTTCAGTGCACCTAACTTCACCGTTGTATACATAAATAGCAACTAATTAGCTTTCCTTTTATTGAAGTTTGAGTCTTCTTGTAGCTTGTACTAAGTCGAACTTCATTGAATCAATCGAATTTATTGTCTCGATCTATAACAATCAAGAAAGTTTCAAAATTATGATCTATTCCTGATATGCTACGAAATAAATGAATTAGTGTTTTGAGTTTTTCTTGATTTTATTTACTGAGATATCTGTTACTATTGTAAAAAATGCTGAAATCCCCAATATAACTTCATTGACAAGACTTTTTCCAGCCCATAGATTTTTTTTTATTTACTCTAACCTCGATTTGGTTCATGTCAATTACAGATGTCAGTCCTCATCTGGTGTTCAAAAATGGTATCAACCCAACATTGTGGCCTCAAGATGTTCCGTTTCCGCCAGATGAGGGTAAAGAAGAGGTGCAGAGTACATACGGAGATGGAGATAACTCAGATAGAGCTGGATGTTTCTCACCGAACGGGATCCCAGGGAATCTCCAGTATCCGGCCTACTTCAAGGTAAATATCAAACACTTGATCGTCAGTAGTAGTTGTAGCACAAAAAATGTAGCCGCAAAGAAGATCGAGTAAAAATTAGGGTTTTAAATACGATTAGTATGTTATTGTAGTCTCATGATCACTTAAGAAATAACATAAATGGAGCAGTCTGGCATTTTGATTTTTCACTTTTACTTCTATACTGTCATTTTTATTTCCATCCCCATTAAACATATTAAAAATCTGTTTATGGTTGCTTTTGTCATTTATTCGAATCTTAATTCAGTTCAGTTTCGCGGCTTTCTACAGAGATAGAGACCCTTAAAGAACACCGTGTCCTTTTTTAATAGCTGGGAATGATAATGATGATGAATGACAGTAATTCAGTGAAATTTTTAAGGTACAATAACCATTCAGTGCCTCACGCTATGGTACATATAGAATCCAATGAATTCTGTTGGACCATCAGAAGTGCAGCAGCTCTAAATCAGTTTCACTATTTTTAATAATGCCAAAACGATGATATTTTTCAATGCCCTGACCCCTTAACTAATCAATAATTCCCTTGTTTGACATTGGTAAAATGAAGCGTTTTTGAGAAAAGCCTTGTTTCAGTACATTTTCATCACGATACTGGATCCATTCTACTGCTTTCGCGTTTTTCAAAATGTGCACAATGTTGAAGGATTCATAACCAGTAACCCGAAATACCCTGGATTTGAATCTCCTGAGCGCTTAGTAAACTTTTAGGCTGGTCATTCGATAGTACTGGATCTCAGATACGGCTTAATTTACTAAGGTCACTTTTTTCAGTTGGATGATCGGGCTCTCCAAAAATATCATCAATGAACCGTTATTATACAAGGCGTACAAAAATCAGCAATATAAGGGTTATTCAATTGATTTGATTGAATGGTTATTAAGCTGATTAAAATTCGTTTAGCTATACAATGTCTTTCAGGAGTTTTATAAGG